TTTGCTGCTTGAATAGTTAACTGTGAGCTAGCACAAAGATTTGGTATTAATGTAGTACCAGATGCTGTGACGTTTGTAGTCTGTGGACATATCATCGATGAATTGACGATAATATTTGATAAACCGATAGCAGTCAGCTGCAATGTGTGTTGTGCACATATGTAGTTAATAGGAACACTACTCGAACTAACAATTGTTGTGTCTTGCGGACATGGCCATGTGTGATTGATTGAAACATTAGCCATGTTCTGAGCTTGTATAATTAATCGTGATATAGCACAAATATTTGAAATCAGCGTAGTATCAGATGCTATAACAGTAGTGTTCTGTGGACATATAGCAGTAGAATCGACAGTAAGATTCGAGTTTACATTACCAGTTAACTGTAATGTTTTTTGTGCACAAATGTTGGAAATTGGTATTAGAGTAGAACTAGTGATATTGGTGTTCAATGGGCATGATGATGTTTGGTTGATTGAAATATTTGCTGTATCAGAAGCTTTTATATTTAAACTTGTTGTAGCACACAGATTTGGAATTGATGTACTATCAGATGCTATAACATTGATTGTTTGTGGACACACAGCTGCTGTATTGACAAAGAGTGCAGACGAATCGCTTGCAATCAGTTGTAGTGTATTGTAAGCACAAATACCAGAAATCGGAATAGTACTCGAACTAGTAATGAATGTATTTTGAGAACATAAGCAGCTTTCGGCAAGAGTGACAGTCGCCGAATCGGTAACTTGAATATTCAGTGTCGATGTTGCACCAACATTGAAAATTTGAGTTCCATTTGAACCAACAATTATAGTATTGTTGGGACATCGTGACAATGTGCGAACATTAACGGTCGATAAATCAGTGCCAGTGATATTCAGTGCATTATCTGCACAGACATTTGTAACTTGGGTGGTGCCGGAAGCGACAATATCGATTGCTGTCGTGCATGTCAGAGATTCGTTGAAAACGAGGCTTGAGCTTCCAGTAGTAGTAATATTCATTATTTTGGAGAGACAGATATTAGTAATTGATGTATTACTCCCATGTTGAATAGAAAAGATTTTTGGACAAGGTGCAGTATCGTTCATCGTTATAGTA